GCTGCCTGCGCATGGAAGTCATTTGGGTCCGGTCGATCGGTAGCGGCGGCGGGTCAAAACAGCTGCATGAGGGTTGCATCGACCCTGCTGCTTGATTCCCCTTGCTACCTCAATTTCAATGGGCTAGCAGCGGTTGGCTGCTCTCGAGGCAGATTCTCCCGCTGCGCTCCATGGCGACGCAGACTCAGACTCGTGCCTAGCTTCATCCTCTCATCGCTGCGCTGGAGTGCGCAGCCGAAGCTCTGCTGATCGAATGCAGCATTCACGCTTCACGATTGTGTGTGCTCCTGGCCTCTCGCAGCACGCCACAGCACGACGAGAGTCCAACACGGAAATGCGCGCCTCCTCCCTCCGCATGCTCGTCGCGCTTGCAAGGGCCAAGTACTAGACATTAGTTGTGAACCATGTAGATGCGTGTAGCGATTACGACAGGCGGTCAACTTCGAGCTGTTCGAGTGGGCCATTGCAGCAAGCGCTGTGGATGTGACTCTCGATCCATGTTGGTGATCGCTGGGAATGCAGGGCAGCGCATGCACGCTGCTCGTCCGACCAAAGGGACGACTTCCTGAATTTGCTCGGGCAAGACGTGCGGCGAGGGGGGCTTGCGAGGGTGCTTCCACTTTCTCTCGTCGGGGATCTGCAGCAGTAAAGAAGGCCGAGGGACCGAGCGCTCATGAAAGCGGTACTGTACGTCGCTCCCGCAGCCTTCTCCACCCTAGGCCACTCAATCCGTCTGCGTACTACTACTACTCGTGACTCTGAGAGCGAACCGTCTTGCAGACCACTTTCTCATGCAAACTCTGGAGCTTAAATGAATCACCCAACACATTCGCCTCAGGGATCATCGACGCACCAAAATTGTCGATCACAGACGTGTGTACGACGCCGAGCGCAGCACTTCTGCGACCCTCATGCGCGCTGCAGACCTTTTGCGACCGGAGTAGCGCGTCACAATCACCACCGCCTCTCACCCTTCAGGCTCTCACTCTGGCCACTCACGACTGCATCAGTTTGCGTAGCGGCCTTTCAAAATCATCTCCGACAACTTGCATTCTTGGATCCAAAGAAGCCCATTCTGCAGCGCGTTCGAGCTTGCTGAAGGCCTCGCAAGCGTTTCAGGCTGTCCCACCACTCCGCTCGCCCGGAAAGTATTGATTGAGTCGCAACACCGCGCGAGCAACTTGAGTGACCTACAGCAAGCGGGCTGCCCAAGCTTTACGGTGCGAATTTCGTACGCGGCGCCCCGATCGTGGCTCAAATTACGCAAGCGCAGCAGTGCCATGCATTCGCAATTATCTTTGCCGCGGTCGCCAGGGTGCGCTGTGACTAGGAGCAGTCATCGGAATGGTCTACAGGGAGGGTCTTGCTGCCCATACAGGCGACACATGCTGTGGAGACCCAAATTCGCATGCGCTCCCACCGTGAACAATCACGAAATCTTGAATGCGCGCTGCTGCAAACGCGACTCGCCCACGACCATCCACCATTCAAATTTCCAGTTCAAGGGCATATGTTATCGTAAGAAGAACACAAGTTTGCGTTCCCAAAGGTTGACGTGACGAAAACAGATTTGGACCGCTGTCTCGACACACAGGACACCGCGCCAAGGCGTGGATTGAGGAGCGTGAATCGGTGGATGCGGACGTGTACATATTTGATGCACGGACCAACCTCAAGGCAAAGTGAGAAATTATGTGCGCTGCTCCTGACATCACATCACACCCACCTCCAAGTCTGACTTTTCTTTGCTCGACCCATGAAAGGGTGCTCGACCGGACTTCTCATCGGACTGACCACTCAACCCTCAACTTGTTCGGACTCGAACGCTCGCTCACCAAGAAGGTGGCTCGCAAGGTGAGCGCGAGGCATCGAAATCTTCTTCGGCTTGAATAAAAGGCTCGGCTCGACGTTCACGCGAGCATGCAAAATTGCACCGCGACGCACGCACGCACGCACGCACGCACGCA